TAAGTTCAAAAAATGATTTAAGGCAAATTATTGTCCAAAAATAAGTCAAGAGTCATTAGTGAAATTATTGTTATATTCTAAACTATTTTATCCCTTCATCTTCTCACATATTTAGAGTGTGTACAACACCCATCTCGTGTTCTTTTACAAAAATGGAACAAAGCTTTTGAAGTTGGTTTGTTGGAGTTAGAGAGAACACAAAAAAGAAAAAAAAGGAAAAAAAAAAAAAAAAAAAAGGAGCCAAGCTCTTTGTGTCGAGTTTGACTCTTTCAAATTTTATTGCTTCTTATGGGGCTAAAACAATACCATTTTAGCTTAAAAGGGGCAAAAAAAAAATTAAAAAACTCTGATGTCAAACAGTACAAACTCAAAGGCAATCATTGGATAACCATTTTTATTTCTTAAAAAAAATTTTCCTTTCAAATATTTAATTATAAATAAAATAAAATAATAGTAAACAAATTTTAAGAAATATCTACACATTAGAGAAAATATTTTATTAAGGTGTTTTATTTGAAAGTAAAGTTAAATATATAAAATATAATTTTATATAAAATAATATTAATTATAATGATGTGGCACTCAAATAAATTTTTTAATCATTCTTCATTATTCATCCTTATTACATATTTTGTGGAGTACTTAAAGTGGGTAGGGCAATTACATCACTAGGAGTCACAATCACAGTTGCATGGTCCAAATTGGCTACAATTTTCTTAACAAAAGAATACTCCTGCAGCTTTGTGCTGTATTTAGGCTTTGTTTAATATTACTTTCTATCTCTTTTACATAGTATTTTATGTAAAATATAAATTTATTATTTTAAAATAATTTATTTTATATATTTTTATTAAGGTTAAATCTCCATTTTAGTCCCTCAACTATTGTACGGATCCCCGACTTAGTCCTTCAACTCAAAAAATCCCTAATTTGGTCTTTACTGTTTATCATTTTTACCTCGATTTGGTCCCTCCATTAAAAATCTACTTACATGTCCCATTAGTTGACCAAAAATGATAACATATAAAAATATTTTGGACATGTAGGATTGACAACGTGGCAAAAAAACTTGACACGTAATTTTCAATAAAAATTAAAATATCTAAAATTAATTATAAAACTAAAATTTCCTTTTTAACCTCATCTTCAACCACACATCAATTTCTTTCCATTTTCCTTTTGTTACCCATTCATTTCAATCTCTAGCATTCGTCATCTTCCCCCAGATCCTCGTTGATGAACCCAGGAGTGCCTGTTGGGTTCATCGATTGAACCCAAGAGGAACCCAATGACGTTGCTGGGTTCGATCGATGAATGAACCCACTGGCGCCGCTAGGTTCATTGATCGAACCCAACAACGCTTACTAGGTTCATCGATCGAACCCAGCAACGTCGTTGGGTTCGATCGATGAATGAACCCACTGGCGCCGCTAGGTTCATTTATTGAACCCAACAACGCCTACTAGGTTCATCGATCGAACCCAGCAACGTCGCTGGGTTCCTCTTTGGTTCAATCAATGAACCTAGCAAGCGCTCTTGGGTTCGATCGATGAACCCAACAGGTGCCGCTGGGTTGCTAAAGACAGTGAAGAGATTTGGAGGCAAAGATAACAAGGGAGTAACAAACAAAGTTGGTAATGGGAAAGCTTGGTTGGCAACTCTGGGTTTTTTCAACAATGCATCCAATTTCTTCTGCAACAATTTCCATTCCTTATCATTTAATCTTTATTTCCCCTTTTGTTATGGATCTGGGTTTCTTTATTATATATCTGGGTTTTGTAGCTTTCCTATTTCAATTATTTTATTCTCTTGATTCTTGTTTCTTTAAGAAGTGGGTATGCTTTCATTGCTATACTATCGAGAAGGTAGGTCGATGGGGTTTGGGACTCTGGGTTCCTCGTGCGATTGTTACACGGCATGGTGGGTTCCTCATACGATTTAGGTGTTGTGTGTTGATGGGTTCACTAAACCCAGATTTGGTGTTTAGGAAAGGAGAGAGAAAATGAAAGGACCTAGAGATTGAACTCTCAAACGTCTCCAAATCTGAACTCTGAAGTCTTGGATGAGATAGGGATGAAAAAAAGAGCAATATGGTAAACCAAATCTAGGTTTTTACTTGCGTTCTATAACTTTCAACAGCCATTAAGAATATAATTAAGAGAATAAAAGAAAAACAAGTTACTTTTAGAAGATGTAATTTGCTAGGAGTATGTTGATTTGCCAATTTTTAGAGTCGGTGCCATGCTGCTGATTTTGGAGTATGACAAGATGAGAGGAAGAAGATGATGGCAAATTTTTTATTTCATCTGAGGGCAAAGTTATACTTTAGTTTAATTAGAAGGGCACAATTGTTATTTCATTTGACATGTCATCATTTTTTGCCACGTTGTATTGATGTGTTTTGATGTGTCTTGATGTGTCAT